TTCAATCTTTTCTCCATTGATAAGAATGTTGTTTATTGGTCCAGTGGTGAGGATTTTTGTTTTCTTTACATTGAGATGTAATCCATACTGAAGGCTGTAAATCTTTACGGGAGCAGAAAGCCTCATCTTTCTCGCATGGAACAGCTGATAGTTTCAAACTGCTGACCGTGAGATTAGCAGCCCAATTCATAACCACTATGCTACCAGAGCTCCTTTGGCTTTAGTGGTAGGTGCCTAATTTGTATAATAGTGATATTAACTGGTGTTCCTTACAGGCATACAGATATTATCCTATCACAGACAGTACTTCAAGACAGTTCTTTTTGATGATGAATGTGACACCATTCCTCTTCAATTTGTCATTCCCGGCAGACTAACCACGTGATTGTCAGATTCAAAATGATCCATGACAATCCATTTCAGCTCACTGATATCATTGAGCTGAAAGATATCAATGCTTATGCACTCCATTTCATTTTTGACAAAATCCAATTTTCCTAGATCCATACTTAGATGTGAGAAAGTTCCATATCATCACCCAAAACAAGGCCTGGGGAAGACTATGGAACAGACCATCATATGCCAAGTTCAGGCTGACGCTGAAGAAAATTTTTAAAAAGTCCCAAGAGCCAAAATATGACATTAAATATAGCCCACCTGAATTTAGAAAAACAGATTTGATGTATTAGACACTAAACACCAAAGACCAGAAAAGTTGTGGGATGACATCAAGAACATCATACAGGAAGAAAGCAAAAGGTCATTAAGGAGCCAGGATGGGTGTCAGAAGACTCTGAAACTTGCTCTCCAGCATGGAGATGCTAAAGCAAATGGAAGAAATGAGGAGGTAAAGGAGCTGAATAGAAAACTTCAAAAGGCAGCTCAAGAAGACAAAGTCAAATACTTTAACAAAATTTGCAAAGGCCTGGAGTTAGAAAACCAAAAGGGAAGAACACACTCAGCATTCTCAAGCTGAAGGAACTAAAGAAAAAATTCAAGCCTCAACTTGCAATGCTGAAGGATTCTATGGACAAAATATTGAGTGATACAGCAACCATAAAAAGAAGATGGAAGGAAAACACAGAGTCACTGTACCAAGAAGAAATGGTCGATGCTCAACCACTGAAAGAGGTAGCACATGATCAAGAGCAAATGATACTGAAGAAAAAGTCCAAGGTGCATTGAAGGCACTGGCAAAGAACGAGGCTCCAGGAATTAAGGGAATCCAAACTGAAATCTTTCAACAAACTGATGCAGGAATGGAGGCCCTCACTCAAATGCCAAGAAAATTGGAAGCGAACTTCCCTGGCCAACTCACTGGAAGAGATCCGTATTATATGCCCATTCCAAAGAGAGGTGACTCAGCAGAACGTGAAAAATCATCAGACATTATCATTAACAACCCATGCAAGCAAAATTTTGCTAAATACAATTTAAAACTGACTGAGCCATATATTGACAGAGAAGTTCCACAGGCTCAAGCTAGATTCAGAAGAGGGAGTGAAACGAAGGATATCATTGCAGACGGAGATGGATCTTGGCTGAAAGCAGAGACTACCAGAAAAATGTTTATCTCTGCTTTATTGACTACACAAAGGCTTTTGATTGTGTGGATCATAGCAAGCTATGGACAGCACTGTGAAGAATGAATATTCTGGAACACTTAACTGTGCTCATGAGGAACCTGTACACCGACCAAAAGGCAGCTGTTTGACCAGAACAAGGGAACACTGAATGGATTAAAATTAGGAAAGGTGTGTGACAAGGTTGTATTCTTTCATCATACTTATTCAACCTGCATGCTGAGCAAATAATCCGAGAAGCTGGAATATATGAAGAAAAACATGACATCAAGATGGAAGGAAGACTCATTAACAACCTGCAATATGCAGGTGATACAACCTTACTTGCTGAAAGCAAAGAGGACTTAAAATACTTACTGATGAAGATCAAAGATCACAGCCTTCGATACGGGATGCACCTCAATCAATATGAAGAAAACAAAAATCCTCACCACTGGACGAATAAGTGACATCGAGATAAATGGAGAAGAGATTGAAGTTGTCAAAGACTTCATTTTGCTTGGATCAACCATCAACACTCATGGAAGCAGCAGTCAAGAAATCAAACGATGTACTACATTGGCCATATCTACTGCACAAGACTTCTTTAAAGTGTTGGAAGAGCAAAGCTGTCAGTTTGAAGACTCAGGTGTGCCTGACCCAAGCCTTGATATTTTCAACAACCTCGTGTGCATGTCAAAATTGGATAGTAAATAAAGAAGACCATAGAAGAATGGATGTATTTGAGGTATGGTGTTGGAGGAGAATATTTAAAGTACCATGGACTACCAAAAGAACAAACAGATCTTGCTGGAAGAAATATAGCTCAGAATGCTTCTGGGAAGCCAGGATGGCTAGACTTCACCTCTTATACTTCAGACATATTATCAGGAGGGATCAGACCCTGGTCCATGTTTGGTAAAGTGGAGCATCAGAGGAAAAGAAGAAGACCCCAGTGGGATGCATTGGCATAAGGGCAGCAGCGGTGGGCTCAGTGTATTAACCATTGTGAGACTGGCATCGGACCAGGCACTGTTGCATTCTGTTGTGCACAGGGTCACCATGAGGTGGTACTGACTCCATGGCACTTCACAGCAACAGCAGCGGCAACAACAGGAAGGGGGCAGTCACAGCAGCCTCCTGTTTGTGACCCGGGTAAGGACAGTGGCTATGCTATACCACTTGTCAGCCCTGGCCACTGGGTCCTCTCCTTTCGCTTTACTAAAAATCCCTGTCCCTGTTTCCTCATGGAAGAGGGCTGAAAGGCTCTGGCACTGGGTTGTAGTGTGTAGTGGCCTGGAGCCCAGCAGAGAAACAGGGAACGCACTCCTGGGCTTTGGTCTGCGAGGCCCTCAGGTGGCTTACCTCCTGAGTTCAGGAGTGAAGACTTGATGTACAGGCAACGGTTGACATGCTCTTTGTCCTGCTTTTTGTAGATAAACTCGTACTCCTCAGAGACATTTTCCCGAACAATGATGTACTTGTAAGGGATGGACTTATCCAGGCTCTGCTTGGAAATGATGGTGTTGCCTTCAATCAGGGACCCGTGTTCACCCAAGTCTCTGCATAAACAGCATGTCAGCTGGTTACTGGAAGTCCTCTCTAGGAAACTTTAGTCCTTCTCAAACACAGCACACAGCGCACAACCAAAACACCAACATCAGTGGTGACAGGGAGGATGCTTCTAGAACAACCCAGTCTCCAGCCATTTTAAGAAAGAATATTCATGGTGGGACACAATACAGACATGCACCACAGGGAATATTTGTGCAAAACATTCATTGTTCCAAAGTTGAAGACTGTAACGGACTTACTGATTAAAAGTCATTATTTAAGTATATTATTAAGTATTAAGTACATTATTTAGGAGCTCTGGTAGCGTAGTGGTTACGAATCGGGCTGTGAACCTTAAGGTCAGCAGTTCGAAACTACCAGCCGCTCCGCGGGAGAAAGATGAGGCTTTCTACTCCCGTAAAGATTTACCCCCTTAGAAACCTTGTACAGGGTCACTATGGGTCGGAACCGACTGGATGGCACTTAACAACAACAACAAAGTACATTATTTAAGTTATGTCAAAAGTTGAACCTTATATACATTTCCCTGAGGGATGAGTAACAATGCTACAACTGTTATTACTACTAAGCCACTGAGAACTTACTTGCTGTAGTTCATCTGACAGACATTCTTCTTCCATTTTGGCATTCCAAACTCCTCTCCTCCCCTGATGAATACTTGATGTTGGTTAGAGTTGAATGAGAAGTCTTTAGAGATGATAGCATGGAAGTACACCATGATGCCTTCACCAGGACTCAATGGCCTAGAATAGAGCCAAAAGTTAGCCACTAATCGCGGCTCAATCCACCCATCAGGGGCGCACACTCACGTGCACAACCACAAGTCACCGTCAAGTTGATTTTGAGTCATGACAACCCACAGACACGGAGTAGAACGACTCCCAAGGATTTTCAATGACACAGTTTGGAAACAGATTGTCAAGCCATTTCTTCAGGGCACCAATGGGGGTACTGAACCACTGACCATTCATCAGTGCAGCTGGGTACTTACTCAGTGGGACCACTGGGGGATTCGCTCGCATGCCTGCATGCACGCATACACACACGGTGTTTGTTTGGGTTGTTAGAGAATGAATGACTGAAGAAAGAAGTCTAGATATCAGCCCAGGGGAAGGGACAGATCCTAAGCCTCATCCTCATGGCAAAGGGGAGGCCAGAAGCAGCCTCCCAGCAGGCCCAATGCTGCTGAAAATGACTCTGGGGCCTCTGGCCTGGCCCAGGCCTAGGACGGGGGCATCTCCATGTTTCAGTAATGTGCGCTAACATGTACCCCTGTCTAACGTAGGTGGGTGCAAAGGGTGGAGGGGAAGCTGGGGACAGGTAAAAGGCCTGGGGGCTGGGAGCAACTGGCTCAGAGCCAGGAACCTTCCAGCATCTCTAAAACACCCAGCTGGCTCCAGGGCCCAGACCCCACTATATCAGTTAGCCACACAGGGGTCAGCATGGGTCTCCCTTCTCCAAAACTACACTAGCCAGAGTCACCAAGAACCCCTCTCCAACTCTGGGACCCCCACCACCTCCAGGCATGGGCAGGTATGTGCCTGGCTCCCAGGGCAGCTGACCTGCTGTCCCATCCAGGGACATCCTACCTCTGCATGTCACACGCACGCTCTTCCGGACGGCTATGCTCCTGGGCACTTTTCACCACCGCACTGTACCCTTCTGGACGCTTCGGGTCCCGTGACTGAGCTTTCTCCTTCTCACCTGCTTTCTCTCCAGGAAGGGACGTTCTGTCCTTGGTCTCTGCTTTCTGGAACACAAAGTCAAACCCCAACCTTGAGCACCAGCTTCCATGTTCACCCCTACAGCAGCCAGCGTGACCCTGCTGACCCCCTGCTCAGACCCTCTGTGGCTGCCAGCCCACTCCCTGAGCCTGCAACCCCATCAAAGGTCACCCTTTCCTACACTCACTCTGGGACACCATCTACCTTTCTCCTCCTGATCAGGCCAACCACATGCAACCCAACCAAACCCTGCCACAGGGCCTTCACACCGCTGTCCCCTCTGTCTGGGGCACCCTCACCCTCTCAGACCTGTGCTCCACCACCTAGCACCACCTGCTGGAGAAGCCTTCCTTCCACCACACCTCTAGCTGCCTGACCTTCCTCCCTCCAGGACGTGAGCTCCTGGGCACCACGTGCACCACGTACACCTCTGATGGTGAGAGGGGCAGGGCCAGACAGGTGAGACACCGACCTGGTCATGTCCTTTAGCAGCAGGGACACTTGCTGGTTGTGCCTTCGTCTTCTGAGCCTTCTTTTCACCATCCTTCCCTGCTTGTTTTGTGGCATGGGCTGGCTCAACTGGAGCAACTTTGGCCTAGAAGAAAAAAAAGACCCCAAACATCAGAGTCAGGGCACAGAGTGGACAGGGAAAGTCTGAGTCTGTGGCTCCATCAGCACCTGCTCCAGCCCTAGTCAGAGGCTGGAGAGGCTGGAGAGGCTGTCTCCTCCCTTCACAGAAGCCCCCTCCCTAGCAGTAGGGAGCATGACCAAAAGAAGGACGGCCTAGATGGAATGATTCAGAACTCCACACACAGTGAAGCCCCCGAGGGTCTGGTGTGATGACCCCTGGTCATCGCTTTAACCCACAACTCACCTCAGAAGTCGGGGTCTCTGCCTGTTTCCTGGGCTCTTGGTCAGTCCCCTTTGACTCTGGTACTGGGCGTGTCTGGGTAGTATCACTATCCACAGGGCTGCCTTCAGAGGCAGCTTCTGTGAGGCCAGTGCCCTTCTGAGAAGGGTTGGAAGGGTCTTGGGGTCCAGCACTCATCTGAGCCTCTTCTCCATCAGTCTGACTCTGCAGAGGGCAGCTGCTGGCCTTGGCCACTCCCACCTCCTGGTTCTTGGCCTCTGGACTGGATGGGCCCTGGTCACACTTGGCATGAAGAGTGCGAGCTGGGGGCTGGCCAATCACACCATCCTGCTGACCATGGTCTCTGTGTGGGGCTGGGTCCAAGGACCTGGGGGATGACTGAGAATCCTGGTAACTTGGGGTCGAGGGAGGTAGGGACAAGGAGTCCATCTCGTCTGAAGTAGAGAATCTCTGGTTCTTCTTTTTCTTCTTCTTGCTCTACACAGAAAAGGAAACATAACCTAGAGATCTTGGATTTACTTCACTCAATCCCTGTCCTCCTCCAGCTGCTCTTCAATGGCCTCAGTTCCTCAGAAAGCATCAACTTTGCTCATCCAAGCCACCTCCTTACACCTTTTAGGTTTCTAATGGCTTTGCCTTGGACAGAAGCAAATCAAAACACAAAAGGGCAGTGGGCTCAGGGAGCAAGAGTGCAAGAACAAGTGACCACACAGTGGCCGCCACACATTCAGCTGTCTTCTTCCTCACAGGACATTCCCCAAAAGTCCATCAGAGTTCCACATATTACACTTACATGAGGGGCCTTCAAGAGGCTTGTGGGATACAGGACTAGAGTGGAGAGTGAAGCGTCCAGCTGATAAGAAGAGAGGGCACATGCATAAATATACCCACACTTCCAGATAATACCCACTTGACCTGGCTTCAATGGCTGGATGATGAGAGCTCAAACAGAAGAAAGAAGAGTGAAAAAATAATCTGATACAATTTGAAAAACTTGACCTACACCTATGGAAGCAATAGCTCAAAAGAATGAAAAAGTCTTCACAGCGAGGATCATTCCCACCTCCTCTGCACACCGAGAGGACAGGGATGGTCAACTTGGACACTGGCTACCCAGAATGGGGGGGTGGGGGGGCCCAGAGGCAAGAAGTGACTGGCTTACAAGTTTTCAAGAGGGAACCTAGATCCAGAGGGTGTGGAGGGAGCAAGGTAGAATCTCCAGTGAGTAGTATCCAGTGTGTCTCGGCGGGGCTGATGAAAGGAGATGTGGATAGGTCTCTTGTGATACAACAGCGAATAATTATTATCAGGACTGATTGTAAAGGCTGGAAATATAAAAGTAGACATTTTTGGGCAAAGGGAGGGGAGTGATTAACCTTGCAGTCTAGGAGTGGAGGTCCCTGGGACCATCAAAGAGAAGAGTGGAGACTGGAACCCTACCCAGAGAATCAGTGATGCCAGGGATGGAGGCAGAGATGATGATGTGGGGAGATGGAGCGGCTGGGGACTTTGGACCCGGAGAGGGAGAGGGGCTGTATGTGGATGACGGGGGGCGGGGGGAAAGCAGGCTTGCAGGGTATACCCTGTAGTTGATGGATGATGCATGGAGGGGATTGCAACCATGGCAAGGAAACGATATAAGATGAGATCAATGTGAAGCTTATGTCCTCCCATGTAAAAGATCACATACTTCACAATAAAGTATTAAAAAAAAATAAAAGAGGCTTGTGGGAAAATGGATTTGAAAGATGATGGCATTTTTTTCCACAAACATTTTGAAGCCTGGTCTACACATGCGTACGTATATTTGTTGGTGTGTGCTGGCAAGTCAATTCCAACCCACAGTGACATGTGGCTAGGAGATGGTGCCCAGGTGACTGAACACACACTAATTCACATGTTGTTGTTGTTATTAAGTATCATCGAGTCAGTTCCAACTCAGAGTGACCCTGTATAGCAGGGGTGGGGAACCTTTTTTCTGCCAAAATTTGTATCATCATTTGCGAGCCGCACAAAATTATCAACTTAGAAACAAGTCTGCTGGATTTGGTCAAACATTTAATTAACTCACTCCTAATGTGGTGACTCAGTCACAACATTGTTGTCGTTAAGTACCGTGCAGTAGGTTCCGACTCATACTGACCCTGCACGGAGTTTCCGAGGCTGTAAATCTTTACGGGAGAAGAATACCTTATCTTTCTCCCGTAGTAACCACATTGTCATCGGTCAAAACAAGGTCAGGGGCAGACTGTGGAACAGACCATCAATTACTCATATGTAAATTCAAACTGAAGCTGAAGAAAATGAAAACAAGCCCACGAGAGCCAAAATATGACCTTGAATAGATCCCACCTGAATTTAGAGATCACCTGAAGAACAGATTTGATACATTAAACACTAAAGACCAAAGACCAGATGAGTTGTGGGATGACATCAAGAACACCATACATGAAGAAAGCAAAAAGTCATTAAGAAGACAAGAAAGAAAGAAAAGGTCAAAATGGATGTCAGAAGAGACACTGAAACTTGCTCTCCAACGTAGAGATGCTAAAGCAAATGGAAGAAATGAGGAGGTACAAGAGCTGAACAGAACATTTCAAAGATCAGCTCGAGACGATAAAGCCAAATATTACAACAAAATGTGCAAAGATCTGGAATCAGAAAACCAAAAAGGAAGAAGACGCTCAGCATTTCTCAAGCTGAGGGAACTGAAGAAAAAATTCAAGCCTCGACTTTTGTTATTGAAAGATTTCCCTGGGCAAATTACTGAATGAAGTGAAGATCTTGTTTCAATCTTTTGCATATCACTTTCCAGTTGTGCCAGCACTACCACCTTCCCATGCGATATATTTAGATACTTCGTCAAAAATCAGTTGGCTGTACATGGATGGGTTAATTTTTGGATTCTCAATTCTGTTCCATTGATCAATGTATCTTTCATTGTACCAGTAATAAGCAATTTTGACCATTGTAGCGTGTAATAAATTTTGAAGTCGGGGAATGAGAGGTTTCCAACCTTATTCTTCTTAAGCAGTGCTTTGCTTATCCTGGGTCTCTTTCCTTTCCATATAAAGTTTATAATTGCTCTTTCCATCTCTTTGAAGAATGTCGTTGGAATCTGGATTGGGATTGCATTATATGTGTAAATTACATTGGATAGTGTTGACGTTTTCACAACGCTAAGTCTTCCTGTCCCATCTTCTTGTGATGCTTTCTGCATCATTCATGATTTTGCCCATTGTTGTTAAGTGCTGTTTGAGACGGTTCCAACCCATAGCAACCCTGTATAGGATTTCTGAGAAGTGATTGGTGGATTTGAACTGCTGACTTGGCAGTTCAAACTGACCTTGCAGTCTAGCATATGATCTTGCAGCACCACACCAACTTGAGGCTTGAAATTTTTCTTCAGTTCCCTCAGCTTGAGAAATGCTGAGTGTGTTCTTCCCTTTTACTTTTTTAACTCCAAGTCTTTGTACATTTCATTATAATAGTGATTATATGTAATCTATTGATAGGGAACTGCCAGAGGTTCAAGCCGGATTCATATGAGGACATGGAATAAAGGGATATCATTGCTGGTTCCTGATGGACCTTGACTGAAAGCAGAGAATACCATAAAGATGCTTTCATGTGCTTTATTGACCCTGTAAAGGCTTCCTGCTGTGTGGATCATAACAAGCTATACAGAATATTGCAGAGAATGAGTATTCCAGAACACTTAATTGGGCTCATGAGAAACATGTGCATAGACCAAGAGACAGTCACGATAAACGGTTTAAAATCAGGAACGGTGAGCATCAGGGTTGTATTCTTTCACCATACTTATTCAATCTGTATGCTGAGCAAATAATCCGAGAAGCTGGCATCAGGACTGGAGGAAGACTAATTAGCAACCTGCAATATGCAGATGATACAACCTTGCCTGCTGAAAGCCACTAGAACTTAAAATACTTACTGACAAAGATCAAAGACCACAGCCTTCAGTATGGGTTGCACCTATGTAAATAAAAGTTCTCATCACTAGACCAAAAAATTGCATCATGAAATATGGAGAAAAGATTGAAGTTTTCAAAGACTTCATTTTGCTTGGATCCACCATCAACACTCATGGAAGCAACAGACAAGAAATTAAATGACATAATGCATTAGGCAAATCTGCTGCACAAGACCCTTTTAAAGTATTCAAAAGCAAAAATGTCAGTTTGAGGGCTAGACCATGGCATGTTCAATAGCTTCATATGCACATGAAAGTTGGACAGTGAATAAGGAAGATCGTAGAAGAATTGATGCATTTGAGTTATGGTGTTAGAGAAGAATGTTAAAAGTATCATGGACTGTCAAAAGCACAAACCAATCTGTGTTGGAAGAAGTACAGCCAGAACGTTTCTTGGAAGCCAGATGGTCAGACTTTGCTCTCATATTTCGGTCATATTATCAGGAGGGACCAGACCCTGGAGAAGGACATCATGTTTGGTAAAGAGGACGATCAACAAAAAAGAGGAAGACCCCCAACAAGGTGGATTGGTGCAGTCGCAGCAGTAATAAGCTCAAAGGTATCAACAACTGTAAGGTTAGCACAGGACTGGCAATGTTTTGTTCTATTGGGCACAGGTCACTATGAATCTGAACCAACTCGATGGCACCTAACAACAACACTGTATATTTATGTTCTCATTAGGTTAGACCATTGGGAACTTTCCCACAAATGACAAAAGAGGAAATTAAAGAAAATAATACTTTAATCCTTTTCCGATTTTGAGCCCACCGGACACACCTCGAGAGAAAGATGAGGCTTCTGCTCCCGCAAAGATTTACAGTATCAGAAACTCTACCCAGGACCAATATGAGTTGAAACGGGCTTGGTGACACTAATACCCAATACAGCATGGTCTACACTTGGGCACACCTTCCCCATCCCTGCGAACACCAACGTTTAAACAATTATCTACTTTATAGGATATTCTGTGGCTCTTTCCTTTTCCAACATTTCATTTCAATGCTGAAACACTTTACATATTTATGGATCATTAATATTATTTCTGTTATGAACTATATCTGTCACTGGCCCATATCTTCCCATTAGGTTGAGTACTGATTTCTGCGTGGTTAACGTGACCTTTTGACATGTTGAAGTGACTTGCTCTTAGCTAAAAATATTTTTACATAAATATAAATATGCTACACACATTTTTCTGAGAATGTTTGCCCTTCACTTGTGCTTATCATAAGGTGTCCATAAGGTAGCGTCAGGCTGCTACCTGGAAGGTTGGGAGTTTGAACCCACCAGCAGCTCTGTGGGAGGAAGATGAGGCAGGCTTTGGGATCCCTGTGCGGCAGGTCTACGCTGCCCTTTCAGCTCGCCATGAAACGAGACCAACTTAACAGCAGTGGGGCAGGTTTTTCGTTTTGTTCTTATCATATGCTGTGACATTTTCAGATCTTTTGAGTTTTTTTCCTGAGGTCAAATATATCCATGTTTTGTGTGTATGTTTCCCTTTAGTTACTCTAGAAACTCTGTCCCCATCCAGAGATCAGATAAATATTTTATCCAAATAATTTTATGCACACTAGGATCTATTTCTGGGCTATGGATTCAACAACACTGATGACCCATGATTCCAATTATGGGGAGCTATGGCTTTGTAAGGAGTCTTGGTGTGGGGCTGTAAGTCAAAGCACTGGACTGCAAAGTCAGTTTGAACAGCAGGGTCGGCGGTTCAAGCTCACCAGCCACTTCTAGGAAATCCTATACAGGGTCACGGATGGGTCGGAACTGACTCGAGGGCACTTAACAACAACACACGACTTTGTAAAATGTTTCTGTTTAATCTGGAGTGTCTTTGGGCATTTATCAGCAGTGCTAAAAGAGCTCTGTAACATCACTAAGTCAAGGGGACCGAGGCCAGAGAGACGAGTGCCTGTGGGCCTGGCTGGGAAGAGGCTGTTCTGACCCCAGCATTTCTCATCCTGAACTATAACCTGTTCCCTTCCCTAGTAAAGCCCACAGCTGTGAGTATGGCGTCCAAGTTCTGTGCAGCCAACTGCGATGAATTATTGGACCCAGCTACGTCACAAGTGCCACGGGAAGGGTGGTTTGTGTCAAATCTGGGAGAGGTGGAAGGCTGGAGGCATATCTAAGCTCAGCCTGACAGGAACTTGCTGTGGAGTTTGATTCTCCAGCCCCTTTGTGCAGTTAGAGGAGGTCAGGCACCCCCTACACACCGGACACACACAGAGATACACACTCTCACACACACACATCACCATCATCAACACACCACAGTGAGGTGGGCTGCATCATCTCCCACCCTCACAGGATGAATGATTGCGGAACAGGCAGGAAAACCAGCCCAAACAGACAGGAAGAGCAACTTCCTGTCCTCGGAAGACCCTCCTGGGTCTTAACACAGAAAGCACATCTCTCAGGTGGCTCTCCCTGGAATAGCCAAAACCATCCCTGGGAACCTCATCTGGAGCTCCCTTTGCTCACTTAGACTCACAGACATTCTGTTGGTGTCTAAGGAGGACAAGGGGCTAACTGAAGCCCCAGCAAACAGATGAGGACTGTGTCCTACCCTGCCCCCAGGGACAAAGCATGTGCGGCTAGCAGCATTTCCCCAGCATGCCCTAGGCCTCAGGCTCCACCATCAAAGTAGAGGCCAAAAACGCTCGACACACAAGCAGCTGAGGCTTAAGTGTCTCCACCCAGCCCAGCCCCGCCCCAGCCTCGGAGACACACACAACCGCAGGCCTGACAGGAGAGGGGCTGGGACCCACAGATGCTGCCATGAGTCAGCACAGACGAGGGCTCTGCTACACCCAGTACAGGGGGACAGCAACGGTAGCTCAAGTCAGGGGTGGACTGGGTCAACCCTGCTCAGCCCCTGATGAAACCTCCCTTCCAGCAGCCAAAGGGCAGAAAGAAAAGTGGAAAGACCCCAGGCCCACTCACCCTCTGGACAATGGTCCAGGAGCCATCAGTGCCATCAGAGCAGCACTCGTCTGGGGTCTCTTGAAGGTCAGCTGACCCCAGGCCGCCGTCTTCCTTCCGTTTCTCCCCGCGGTCCATTTCCACACCCAGGGCTGGCACCAGCTCGGCGCTGAGGCTCTTGGGCTCTACAAAGGCACACAAGTGAAGGTCAGGCGGCAATCCTGGTGAAAGGTAGAGTCCAGTTCAGTGTGTCTGGGCTGGAAAGGCAAGTCCTAGGCAGGGGGTCAAAGCAAAATGAACATGGTGGGAGCCTGGACCTGGGGGGCGGTGGAGGTCAGGAAGGGAAGTCGGATTTTTTCACTGGACCTCCACCTGAAGCTGGTCACCCACCGCTACATCCCTCTCCCTCTGCCACGAGCTGGGGACCAAGTCAACCTTCTTCCTGAGAGGAGCTCAGTGGATTGAGGGGCCAGGTGCGGGAAGTGCTTAACTCCCATTGTTTGACACGGTCGCAGTGGGGGGAGAGACATTGTGCACAGCAAATGACTCTCAAAAACCTGGTCCCTATCTTCCCTTCAAGTTAACTCTGAATTCACTTGTAAAAATATATAATATTATCATATTCACAGCTTTTTACTGTGAGCTCTACAAACCTTGGGAAGAAACAATTATCTCAACTTCAGTTGCCTGAATTCAAAGAGAATTGTATAAATTACTCCCTTTCACAGAAATCCTAAATACAAAGTAACTGCATTTGTGAGACCACAAAGGCAGATAGCAAATTAAAGTCAAGCTGACCTACCCCTATAGACCTCACCACAATCAGTCACCAGCCAGAATTCACAAACCCCTACATACAAGCACCTGTGTAAGTAAGCAGAAAATAATGAACTTAAGTGAAGGATAGTTTTAACTTGATAATAATCTACATTTCCTGCAGCAATCAGCCAGGTTGGGCTTTATGCTACATGGCTTCCAAGCAAGTTCATGAATACTTTAGAGAAATAAATAAGTAGATGTTAGTAATACTTTCTATTATGAAAATAATAGTATATTATGCAGGATGTTGTTGTTGTTGTTAAGTGCCATCGAGTCGGTTCCGACCCATAGCGACCCTGTACAGGGTTTCCGAGGGTGTAAATCTTTACGGGAGTAGAAAGCCTCATCTTTCTCCCGCGGAGCGGCTGGTAGTTTCGAACCGCTGACCTTAAGGTTCGCAGCCCGATTCGTAACCACTACGCTACCAGAGCTCCTTATTATGCAGGATAGAAGATTGATAATTAGTTAGTAGAAATAATAAGGTAGTGCAAGCATTGATGATAAATAGAAACTTATGTTACTAAGAAAATGTAATCAGGAGTCTGATAAGTAGAAATGATCTGTGTAAAGCTGGACTTAATATTTTAGTGAATAACAAGAAGGAACAATTTATCACATACTGGGAAAGGAGATGAAAGTCAGTCTGAACATCACAGAAATATTTTTGTCAAAGTTGTCTAATGACCAGGTACAAGAATGTTGTGATTAACTGTGTAATAATTCAAGGAAAGATCAAAGTATCAATTCATTATGTACTGTGTCATTTTAAGTATAAAAAAATAAAGACTTGCTGAGCTGGGCAGAGCAGGACAGAAGAGAACAACAGGCAGACAGAGAAAGAGAACCTCCGGATTGCTTTCATTTTCACCAACTCCACGTCTCTTCTCATGTCCCACAACCCACGTGAGCTGAACTCCCGCAGCCAGGACCCCAGCCCCAACCACAAAGGTGTCCAGCCCCTCCCTGCTTTCCTCCTGACCTCCAGATCAGGACCTTCATCTGGACGATACACCTGCAGGACTCGAGGCTCCAAAAGTAAACTCTTTATCCCTGCCCCCCACCAGACAGGCTCTCCTAAGTGATGGGAGCCCCATTCCCAGCACGCACACACACACACACTCACACAAAGACAGACACAGACTTACACATGCACACTTAGACACTGACTTACACACACTAACACAGACACAGACTTAGACACACACACAGACACAGAATGACACACAGTCACACAGACTCAAACTTACACACACACACACACACACACTCAGTGGTTCAGGGGCTCCTGAGCCCCCACGCTAATCCAAACTCCCAGGCTGGTTTGCCCCCAGATCCACCCCCATGTACAGGTGCCATCCAAACATCCCTGAGGCGACCACTCAGAACGTGCACCAGCCCAGCGGTCAGTTTCCATCTGAAACCCCTTTCAGCACCACGGCCGACACTCACAGCGCCCCTAGAGGACAGAGCAGGATTGTTCCACAGAGTTTCCAAGTCTGTCAACTTTACAGAATGCCAGATCTTTCCCAAAGGACACCCCTCCCAGGGGCCCTATTTCCCCCCAGGTCTCCATTCACAACTCTCGCTCCCCAAGCCTGCTCCCCAGCCCCTCCCCAAGGCTGAGGTTTCCCCCGGGGCCCACCCCCTGCCCCCTTCTGCATCTGGTAAATTCTATACTCAGGAACCAAGCTGCCTGGTTCCCTTTGGGTCTCCTCTGCATGGACAAGGTGCTCGGGAGACTTCTGCTTAATAACATTAACAGTATTCAGAATTAATAATAAATATTTCAAATGATTACACACAGACACAGGTGCACACGGCACACACAAATGAACACATATATGCACACATGTGCATAAACACAGACATATACATACAACAGACACACACACAACCTTGGAGTCCCCAATCCAAAGCTGGACAAGAGTTCTGACACAAGCCAGCCCATATCACCACTTCTCCAGCTGGCGGGGCGGGCCTAGTTAACCTCATCCTATCAGAATCCAGTATTCCCTCATAGCTCAATAATTTGTCCAGAGGTGGTCCAATCAGCAAGAAGTGCAGAGGGTGGGTGGGCCACAGAAGTTCTAACATACCAATTCCCGACTCCTCTTGGTCAGGAGGGTCCCCACAGACCTGATGCTGGGAGGTTCCTGCACCACGTGGCCAGCTTGAGGACAAATTGACACGTGGGGAAAGGGCTGCACTGGCAGGACCAGTGACCCAGCAAGAGCCCTGAGCAAGCCACACCTGAAATCCCACATGTATGTGGCCCACGGCATTCCTTCTGCTGAGTGAGCCCTTAGGAGGTGGGGTTACAGTTATCCTAACAGTCCCAGGACTGCAAAAATAAAAAAGAAACAGAGCTTCACAAAAGAAAAGCCAACAGGCAATTCAAAGAAAAGAAATACAGTAACCTGCCAGCCTCTGACAAGATGCCCAGTCTCCTGCTGATGGGAAATCAGACGGAAACCAGTGTGTTGCTGAGAGGAGGATTTTAATAGGTGTTTAGTTTACATATGTTTTAACCCTTCTGAATCGTTGTTCCAACATAACTCCCTTGGTCTCCCAGGACAGACAACTGAAGGTGTTTTGTTGATTAAAACTTAGAAGAAAGAAACAAGTTGGGAGGAGGAAACCCAGAGGCGAGAAAGTGCCAAGTGCCCAGATGTTTTCTATAACCCCACCCATTGTCTGAAGGTACCTTGACCAAGTGGAGTGCATACTGTCCTCCCGAGGGGAGGGGGCATTAAGGTCTGAGAAAGGAATGTGACAAAAGCAAATGGGTTAATATTCAGAAAGATACAGAAAGTCCAACCGTGTGGGGGAAACCAAGGCAGCCTTTAGAGAAAGTCTCACTGCCTTCCATATCTGTCAATAAACCCATGTGGATTCTCACCCTCTGTACTAGCTGCAGCAGCTGGTGGTCAGACTTTTGTTTGGTAACAATGCCCTTTATACATGTCCAGTGGGCAGCAAGGAGCAAGATTGGCAGTAGCCAACTCGGGAAGGCGTGGTGGAAGAGAACCCCAACGCCAGGAGACGTTAGGTTTGGAACAATTTAAAGACCGTTCTGTGAAAAAGGTGAACACAGAAGAACAGAGATCCAGGTGGTGGGAAGATCAGGTAGATTACTGGATAAAATAGACTATCTTAAATGGAGGGTACAACTAATGGAATATAAGGTAACCACAATGGGGTTGGGCTGGGGGGCTTACTTTGGGTATTGGGGAGGGCAATACAAGAAAAGGGGAGGAGGCAGAAGAACAAGATAGATGGGGGAACACTGAGACAGGTTTGCATGGCCTAGTGGAACAGAGGTAAATAGTGATGCATACTCAACCTTGGAACAACAGGGCTCTGGGATACAGGGATCTAGGTATAGCTTGAAGAGGGTAAATAATACTAAAATCCTTGACTGCCTTATGAATATTAGTTTCCCTTGCCTACTATTGTAAAACAGACACTTGAGTGGTATAGAAAGAAATGTTGGGAAACGTTAGAGAAAACTTGTAAGCCCGCCTTCAGCCTATAATTGATTGGAATACCTAAAAGGGGTTCTACAACTTGCCCAGTGAAATAGGCCTCATGCAAAGCCTTTACAGAGTATAGGACCCTAGGTGGAATCCTGAGTTCCATCCACAACCTTGTGAGGTGAGACATTCCCACTAGAAAGGACAAGCAGACAGGAACAGCTACAGTGACAGAAGATGTATCTTCATGATGAACCTGACCTATACTCAGAGCAGTAGTTACTCTAAATACCAACAGACAGGGAAAGAGTCTTCAAATGTCTAGATGGGTCTGGTGAAAAGAGATGGGGATAAGATTCATAAGATTCAATAGCGATTAACTGTTATCATGACTAATCGCAACTGTCACAATTGTAAAGGTAGAAATTTTGTAACAGAAAAAAGGGGAGTGATTAATCTTACAGTCCAGAAACAGAGGACCCTAGGACCATCAAGAGAAGAATGCACAAGCAGAATGCAGGACCTTATCCAAGAAGCAGCAGCGCCAGAGATGGGGGCATGGAGAGGGGGAGTGGCTGAGAACTCTAGATTCACGACTAAGAGAGGGACTAGGAGCTGGTGGCCAGGAGCAGACTTGCAGAATGTTCCCTTTGGAGATGTAAATTATTATATATGCCTGAGTGGGTTTTTTTTTGTTTGTTTGTATGTTTTTTAAAAAAAGCTAAAGTGGATAGAAATACTGTTAACTGATGGTACATGGAGAGGATTATAATCATTGTAATGAAACAAGGCATACGATTTGTTGAATGTAAAACTGATGATATGCTTTGTAAACTTTCACTCAATCCGCAATAAAAACCTAAAAAAAAAAAAAAAAAAAAAAGGCGTGCCAACAGAAGAGAAATCTGGATGAGACACCAACCAGAAGCCAGTATTCATTTGGGAAGAGCCGCAGGGCTGGGTCAGGGACAGGTTGGGGGACCTCAGGGTCAGTTTACAGCCTCCCACCAGCACAGATGACTTCTACAGTCCTAGTAAGTGAAGAGGAAAGGAGCTGGACTTCAACAGGAATGGACACACAGCTCTTTGGAGGAGTCTGTGGCGGGGAAGTGCTGAACTGCTGACTGAGAGGTCAGAGGTCTGGGATCTACTGGTGAAATCCCAGCCATTGATGCTCCCATGGAGCACAGTTCTCTGACACACACTGGGGGCCTTGAATGGACCCCTCAGCAACTAGTTTTTAAGCACTTTACACACATTAACCCATTAAATAACGACTCTATCCCCTTAACTAAGGTGCTCTGGTAGCATAGGGGTTACTAGTTGGGCTGCTAATCTCAGGGTCAGCAGTTTGAAACTACTGGCTGTTCCGTGGGAGAAAGATGAGGCTTTCTGCTCCCGTAAAGATTTACAGCCTCGGAAACCCTGTACAGGGTCGCTATGGGTCAGAACCGAATCCACAGCACATATCCACCACCACCACCATCCCCTTGAATAAGGTGGCACAGTGGGTAAGGGATCTGCTGCTAACTGAAAGACTGGAGTTCAAACCCACTAGGGAGAGCTTCAGGGTGGAAGTTAGTGACTGCCGATGGAGTCACCAGTCAGGGGGAGCAGGTGCCATCTCTGAGGATGTGGCCTCAGCTGGGCCCTGCCTGCTGTGGATGGGTCGAGGCTCTGGCCAGCTGATGCCCCCGGGGCCTCTTGCAGCTGCTACCCATACAGGAAACCACAGAACATAACATTTGAAGCCCCCACCATCAGACCGGAGTCCTAGGGTGGCGCTGTGGGTTAATGCGCCAGACTGCAAAACCATTTGAACTGCAAGGTCGGCGGTTCAAGCTCACCAGCTGCTCCTCGGAAACCCTATACA